CCCCCCCCCGGCCCTTGTACTGCCGTACCCCCAGGTGACCGACCTCGATGTATTCAGGCAGCTGGTGCTCAACAGACTCACGGCAGACGACGGAGCCAGCCGGAGCGCTCAGAGGTCCGCAGGCAGTGCCGGACTCGGCTCGTCGCCATCATCGTCATCCAGACACGGCCGGAGTGTTGCCGTCAGGGGAGGGGGAGGGGACGACGGCGGGGAACGAGGGTGGGGGTGGCAGGCGAGGCAGACGCAGCTGGCGCTGTGGATAGAGGAGGCGCAGAGAGGGTGAGTTTCGGGGGGCGGGGGGCGGGGCGGCACACGTGGGGCCCCCTTGGGATGGAGTTGTTGTTGTTGTTGTTGTTGATGTGGTGGGGGTGGAGTTTGACACACACACACACACACACAGAGAGAGAGAGAGAGAGAGAGAGAGAGAGAGAATTCCACTTCACGCCCGACTACCCCTCTGTGTCCACCAAGCGTCTTAGCAGGGTGTGGTGTCAGGTATTATTGCTGTGTACCGAAAGTGGAAAGCTGGGATGGATGTGTGTGCGGGGCTGAGGTGTGTCACATCAACCGGTGAACTGTATTGTCGCACACGCTGGGTCGTTCGGTACCACGGACATGACGTCATCAACAATGAACAACGCTACAGACATGCCCAGCTCGCGTTGGCATCGGGCAAGACCAGCACTTGTTGCCGTGTTGCGCGGTTCCCTTTATGCTCTGGTCTCTACCGCTTGAACTTTTTTTGTTTGGACTTTTTTTGTTAGCGGCGGAGGCGGGGACGGGGGAGGAGCGGGGGCTCACCTCCTGGGACAGTGGAAGTCGGACGGCGGTTGCAGCAGCAGGTGAGCGAGCTGCAAGCACTATTGGGATCTGTTGCAACACATTTCGATCTTCTTTGTACGTACGTGTTGGTGCGGGTTTCATGTACACTACGTTGTTGGGGTTTTTTGTGTGTGAGAGTTTGTTTATCCGGAATTCCGAATATTTCGACCGGATTTCAGCTATTGTATTACCATATATAAATATATATGTATTTTTTCTCCCATCATTGGACTCTGTCGTCTGCCCCTCTGGCCCCTATCCTCCTCTTCTACCAGCTAGACGACCCAACCGGGGTCACATAGGAGAGGGGGGTTGGACCTCCCTCCTGCGGTTCCTGCCTGAGATATTTTTATCGCGAGAAGGGTACATCAATCCCTTCCCTCGCGACTTATTACGAAGTCGATCAAGGTTACTAACAACGAGCTTTGCAGCGCGTCGCTTCCAACGGAGACCAGGATTTAATCAGCGAGAAAAAACTCACTCTGGCCGGACTCGAACCCATGACCTGGCCCTTAGCAGGCTGCGAGGCTACCCACTAGACGACCGGGGCGACCGGTCCACATGTCTTTGTCTGTACAATATACAGCTAGGCTCGTTGAATTGATAATTGGAATATCGGCCGTTACGTACCTATGACAGGACCTCCCCCCGCATACTCCGTTATTGCTCTGGAAGCATTTTATCAATTCGCCTGATGAACTCATATTCGGTGTCAGCTGCCTGAACCCCCCGCTAGGTATGCAATCCTTGAATCCAACCATGTGGCTAGCCTTCCAAACTGCTCGACTTTTTGTTATGTCGTCGTCGTTTCGCTTGGTCTCGCTCCTTCACCCCCCTTGTTTAATTGCAGCCGGCCCTTGAATCCGAAAAGCGTCGTAACCTTCCCCTGTCGGTTCATTTTTTCTCCCTTTGCTATGTTCCCACGTGTACTACGCTTTCGTTCAGCTGGGACGCGCTCACGCTGGCTCATGACGGCACCCTCCGCCTGTGCCGGCGACTGGTGGCGGAGAGAGACCTGTGCAAGCGGGGGCTGGACGCCATCCTGGCGCACTTGCTGGCTTTTCTGCGGGATCCCGCGACAAGGTGTGTTAATATCGTCAGGATGTGTTCGTGTGTGCGTGATTTGTGATCGCACTCTGAAAGTACTTGCTCATCGTTGTTCTCTGCAATAGCTTGCGAGCTCGGGGCGGCGCTGTCCCATTGAGTCCTCGATCATGCGCTCTCTTTATCGCGTACGATGTACTTCAAGCTTTAGATCGTGTGTGTATGTTTGTTTTGTTTAAGTGTGGTCTACCTTGCTATCGTTTTCATTGCAGTGTGTTTTATTTTGGGTCGTTGCGATGTACATGTTTTTCATTTTTCGTTCTTATTACTTTCGTTCTCGTTCTTTTTCGTGCCACAAGTGCAGCTTGCGATTGTGTTTGTTGTTATCTACTCTCAATAATATCCACGGTTATTGTTGTTTCCCCTCGTTGTTGTTGTGTTGTGCTTTTTCCTACTGTACAGCCTGCGAGCTCGGGCGGTGAAGCGGCTGGCGGGGGTGGTTGACGCGGACGGTTCTCTGATGGGCAGGGAGATCGTAAGGGTGTCGGTCACCTCGAGCTTTCTAGACGAGGCTGTCTCTGTTCGACAGGTAGGCTACCGTGCCACTGCTGTATGTATGCCAATAGCTGGAGGTAGCGGGGGTGTACAGCAATAGAGAGACAGGGAGAGGGAGATTTTATTGATGGATCGATTTTCGATACCTATAGATAGATATATGGATAGGGAGAGAGACAGAGACAGAGAGACACGCACGGAGATGACGAGAGACAGAGGGAGCGAACGAGCGAGCCAGAGAGAGAAGAGAGAGAGAAAGAAAGAGTGAGGGAAGTGTAAAGGGGAATGTTGATCCATTGTGTGTGGATGGAGCCCCTCGCGAAGAGGAGACCCATTTTGATGCATGTATGCGTTTATCGCCTCTTGTTGTCGGCGCCCAATCGACGAATCAAGAACGGCATGGGGGTAGGTTAACAAGAACAGCCCAGCAGCGGCAGGAGGAGGAGGAGCGCGGTGCTAGAGGATGGACGACGGAGAACAGAAAACCTGGTGCGGGTGAAGTCAAAGACCAAGTGCACGTGTACACTTGGTGTTTTACTTTCACCCAGGCCTGTGATTCTGTTTTTCCGACGTCCACCTTCTTGAAGCGCGCTCTCCCTCCGCTGCCGGTGCCGGTGCCGGTTTGTTTCTCCCCTCTGTTGGTGATATCTATCTATGATATTGCTTTCGATGACGTTTGCAACTCTTGCTCGTGTCGACCCTGTGGTGGGTTCACCAGGCTGCTGTGGATCTGGTGGGCAAGTACATCCTCGCTGACAAGGGTGGTGCTGGGGGAGGGCGAGGCGACGGCGGCGCGATGCTCCTCGATACGTACTACGGCGCCTTGATGGATAGGCTGGTGAGTCTGTTTCGCTTCTTTTTTTTTTTGTGTTGTTGTCCCGTATCCGGTGTGTGTCGTTGCTGTACCGCAGTTGTTGTACGCAACGGCACGCTTCTTCTGTAGCACCGCGTACCAGAGACCGTTGTGCGGGCGTTGATGCTTGTTATTGCGCTGCCGCCGCCTCCCCCAATTGCCACGGCGTGTGCTTCTGTGCTGTACTAAAGCAGCCCATCTTTGCTTTTTTTTTGACGGTTTGCCCCCTTTTCCTTGGGGATGCTGTCCTCCCAATCACCTGCTTGTGGTGTTCTTCATTTGCATCCGGTGCTTCGTGTCGAGGTTGCTGCAGCCGACGCTTGGAACTCGTGTTGGTGGGAGCTTCCGCGTCCTATCTTTTTCTTGCCTACTACGCGCGGAACTTTGTGACCCGTGTTGCTCCCGGCAAAGCCTCCCCTGCCGCATGATGAATACATCAATGCTACAACGCCACATTGTTCATCTCATGATGTTACCGTGGCAACGGATGGTGTTGCAGCGCGGAAAGGCCCTTCCGACCCGCGTTGCTGTTGTTTCGATGCGCTTCTCCTTCTTGGTATGCTCCTCCGTGGAAGGGTTCGCCCACTGTTCGGGGGTCAGGCCATTCCGCGCTGCAACACCATCCGTTGCCACGGTAACATCATGAGATGAACAATGTGGCGTTGTAGCATTGATGTATTCATCATGCGGCAGGGGAGGCTTTGCCGGGAGCAACACGGGTCACAAAGTTCCGCGCGTAGTAGGCAAGAAAAAGATAGGACGCGGAAGCTCCCACCAACACGAGTTCCAAGCGTCGGCTGCAGCAACCTCGACACGAANGATTTACACGATCCAATTAGATTTTTTTGCTGTTGAACTTCCACAATTCCCTGTGTCCACCTCTGCCTCCAACGCCGCCGCCGTTCCCGCTGCCTGCTTACCGCTACTCTGCTGCCACCCCCACCCCCCGCCGCCGCCTTTGTCGCCGCCGCATTCCGCTTCTACCACTACCGCGATCATATCTACCACATCTACCACATCTACCACCCGCTACCACTACCACTGGAACCACATCTACCACATCTACCACATACCCCCCCCCCGGTACCGCCATCACCGCGATGGCTGTTGGGAACTCAGCTCGACAAGGGTGTCAGCGTCCGCAAGAGCGTGGTGCGGACTCTCCGAGGGGTTCTGCTGTGGAGGAGCTCGCACCCCCGGCACACGGCCATCTGCCGTGCGCTGGTGGAGCGGGCGGTGGTGGTGCGTGAGGAGGACACCATCCGCGACCTCATCCGCGACACCTTCCAGGTGGGGGAACGGAAAAAGGAGGAGGAGGAGGAGGAGGAGGAGGAGGAGGGTTTTTATTGCCGCTGTGGTGTGTGATAGCGGGTACTCGTGTAATGGCATGCCAGCATGTCGTAGTCGTTGGACCATGGGCCTCGTCCTGCCAGCCAGGGCGGAGTAGGCAACGGTTAAAAGAAGGAGGGTTAAGGGGGGATGAATTGAACGCACGTACTCGGGATTTGTTTGTCCTTCTGGCATGTGATTCATAGGGCACTCATGCAAAGGCATGCCGTAGTCGCTGGACCATGGGCCTCGTCCTGCCTGCTGGGACGGAGTGGGCGAAGGGGAAAGGGAAGGAGGGTTAGGGCAATGGAACGCACACATCACCTTGGATTTTTTTTGTTCTTGTGTGATGTGATGAAAGTGTACTCGCGTGAAGGCATGCCATTGGCCTTGCATCCTTGCGCCGGCGGAACCGGTCACGGCGGGGTCTCTGCTCGCCCCTTGGGATACGGGCTCTCTGCCGCACGGCGGGGTCAACCTCGCAACTAGTTGGCCTCCAAAGCTGGCCGGTCCTTACTTTCATATTCGTCGCACTGCCTGTTTGAAGTACTATTCCACGTGGTCTAGCGTGCCTCCTGCTTTCTGTGCTCGGAGAAAGTGATCTACTCCCGACGAAATCCTCCAAATCCGGGACCCAAGCATGCAGTAACGAGGAACGCCTCAGGCAATTTTGTGTTTTCCGTGAACAATGTTTTTTTGCCATCTACCTTTGAACAAACCTGTCTTTTGTTCCCCTGAGCGAGATACCGTAGATGACACAGGTGTTGCTTCCGTGTCTAGCACCTATAATACGTAAGTACTCTTTTGTTCCATCTTTTTTTCTTTTCCCTCAGCAAGAAGAGCATCGAATCGAAATGGCACACCTTTACCCCCCCCCCCC